ACCCAAAGACAACCCTCTTTGCTTCAGTGAATGTGCTCATGTCAACAGCACCTTGACCTTCCAAAAAAAGGGGGGGAAAAGGAAACAAAAGATACATATATATATATAATCTTACAGATTTAGAGGTTTTTTCTCTGGATGCAAATACATCTTGTAGGACTACACAAATGTGTCTGTGATGCAGGCTGTTAGTATTTCTAGTGTGCTCAAAGTTGCTGTGGCACTCTCCCAGTCTGTCTGGGCATGTGCAGGAAAGCACTGCAGTGCTGCACTCTGGAGAGAGAGACAGACAGAAGGAGAGGAGTTTTGACAGTAGGGTGCTCATTCCCTGCAACATACTCTTTTTTTATCCCATGTGTGAGGGAGCATTTAGAGGATAAAAAGCTATGGTCGGCTGCTGCATTATAATTAAGCAAGAAAAGGTTAATGGAAAAGGTTAATGTCATTGTCAGGAACCTACAAGGCACTGAACAACTTTTCATGGTACGTATTGTGATTTCATAGCTCATCAGTGCAGTGCAACATGTTCCTTTTCAGATTTTGCTCTTGCCAGCAAATAACAGAGTATATTTGATGCCGCATAATGCGTTTAAAGAAGCACATCCAAGATTAGCGATGTATTTTCTACCCTTTTTATGAACGCAGACAGTTTTAGCCAGGCAAGGACAGCTCCTTAATCAAGAGAAACAACCAAGTCCACTCACGGGCAGCTCTTCCTATTGGCCTTTGTTTGCTCCTATAGAAAATGCTTCCTTTCATCTCTTTTTTTAATGTGATTTTATTTTGTGTCTATACAGTATTTTTGTCTTCCCCATGCTTTTATTTGTTCCCCTGTCCAGGCAATAAACATCCCAAAAAGTGTCTGCTGAGAAAAAAAAGGTGGTCTAAGCAATCCTTTTAGATCAGAAAACCCCAGTTCTTCCCAAATAACACTGTAGTTGATCAGTGAGAATGGTTCCCATTAAAGGCCACATAGTGACTTCTAACGTGTCATTAATTTGGGAATTTGTTGTTTAAAATAACACAGGAGGAAAACAGGGATTAAAAGTACAAAAAGAAAAGAAAAAATTAAATCAGCAGTAAAGATAGAGGTAAGAAGAAACAGCCCCTATCCATAAATAGAGGTCATAAGGCAAAACACCTTTTTGAAAGAGGCAATGAAGTGCTACTTACAACTAATACATAAAGTAGAACCGAGAAAGGGTAAAACTCTTCTTCTGTTGTCATTTTTTTCTCCTACAAATTAATTACATAAAGAATCACAGATAATGTTCTCTAAGGCAGGAGATGCTGAGGTTATCAGCCCTGGAGCTTTGATACAGTATCAGGCTGCAACATTAATTGGATACTTGTGCTGCTGCAGGCATGATCACTCTCTGGCTCTCGAGCTGCTGAGGCATCAAAACAGGTGGAACATAAATGGCACAGCATGTGCACCTCAGAGTCGTGACGCACCCTGGTATTGCTAAAAGCTGTCATCCATTTTGTGGGCAATGATGACGATAGTGGCGAAAGGGGGTGGGTGGGGGTGAGATCTCTGGGTTGAAAGGGCCATCAAGTGGCCGGGAACTGAACTGCACCGTCAGCTCAGTGCTGGAGCACCCAGGCTCTGCTGTAATGACTCCGAAAGACAGACAAGTGAAACAGTGCTTACCACTGAACTTGAAATGGTCACACTTGAGCAGTCCCATTTAGGCAAGCTGCAGGTGTAATTTTCTGCTAAGTGATATTGAAGGAGGTGTGACTGACAGGCTTCAGTTGGGAAAAATAAGTTCCCCATGAATAGAAATTCAAATAATGTCCGGAATAAAGCTCAATCATACCTGACTGACCTCCCCAAAGGTACCACAGTTGCTGTAAGAGACACCACAGTCCTCCTGTTTCACTGGGATATCCTTTACAGACGCCTCAGTGACTCCGCTATCCAACTCCCTGTAATGGCACACTGTGTTCCTGAGAAACTGAAGAACTCTTGAGCTTCGCAGGTGCCGGAGAGCGGCGTTTGTGCTTATATCAGGCCCGCTGTTGGAGGTTACAGCGAGGTCGAGGTCAATCAGAAGTGAAGTCAGCAGCAGCCTATTATTAGTGTAGGGTTTCTCCTCCGTCTTCGTAGATCACTTGACCCAAAGAATGAGCTAGATAGCGAGGTCACTTAGCAGAGCACGAGCGTTACAACTTGGTTCCAGGGAATCATTACATAGTTGATGGGATGGAGGCACACTGGGAATAGTTTTTCTTCTGTGTAATGATCTGTCAGGAGGAGAGAGGCTGCTCTGCTCTCAGTGAAAAGACACACCTGTTAATGAGCGGTGTTTTAAATCCTAAGTCAGCTTTTCTTTTTTAACATGATTTAATAAAATAGAAATTGGACTGCTAGATCTGCAGCACTTCAGTTGATTTTTTTTTCTTCTAGATACTCAGTTATAATTCAGATTTTTTTAAACAAGTTCCTGGCTGGTAAAACTCTTTTGTACAAAAACATTATCTAAGACAGGAACTTTACACTTCTACTTTCTCCAGGGAAAAAGCTGTCTGGTTTCTGGATTTAATGAGTTCCATTCAAAGTGACAGAAGCCACATGACTGAGGTGTGAGTCAGGTAGACATACATCTAGGCAAATGCTACTGACTTGTTTGACTACTTAATGCATAATACAAACCTATATACGCTCAGTGGCCACTATATTAGTTACACATCTGTTAAACTGCCTGTTAATGTAAATATTTAATTAGCCAATCACATGGCATCAACTCAAAAGATTTAGACATGTACACATGGCCAGACCATGGATAGATAGGAAAGCATCAGTAACTCAAGAGTTGCAGAAGAGCATCTCTCCACAAAAAACACTGAAACTTGAAGCAGATGTGTTGTGGCAGCAGAAGACCACACTGGTTCCCACTTCTGTCATTAAAGGACAGGAAACTGAGGCTACAGTTCACTCAGGCTCACCAAAATGGGAAGTTCAAGACAGGAAAAATGTTACGTGGCCTGGTGAGTTTTCACTTTTGCTGTGACATTCAGATGGTGGGGTCAGGATTTGGCATAAACAACATAAAAACATTTCTGAAATTCATATTTATAGTGTTTACATTTGACTGGGACAAAAAATCCGGTCTTGCATTTGTGGTCCAGGGGGCCAACCGTGATCCCCAAAATAAATAAATAAATACAAATCTTGAAATTCCTATGCATGATACATGCGACGAAAGGGGATTTTTTAAAAATAGCTGTTTGATTTCGGTTATAAGTCACCATCTACATTGTTGCCTACATTGTAGATGGTCACTTTACCTTCACACCTAAGCAATAAAATGAGTACAGTCAGGGGTTACAGTGGGATTCTGTGTAGCGGCTCAGCGTAGGGAAAAGAATCACAGCTCACAATAATTTCTAACATGAGCATCAATAGATTTTCTTAGTGTACAGGCTATGATCAGCTGACCTGCGGCTCTTTGTGGATTTACACAACTGAATTCAACAAGATGTATACAGTTTCACAGCTATCTTGGCTGAAGTCCATCCTCTACACTGACAGTATACTGTTTATCCTGTCTTATACCTGACAGTATGCAGTTGGTATAAAGTTGGAATTCAGTTAATTAATCTAATCATCATCAGCTTAAATGGAGATTCATCTCTGCAACACTTCCTATAACCTAAACCTGACCATGAGCACCACAGCCACTGTATCATCAGTCCAACACAGTGCTTTACTGTGAATTCACCACAGTACTGTAAGCTAACCTGTTTATCCAGGACAAAACTACCCAGGATTTTAATGTAACACAAAGTTAGTGTAGCTTTGTTTGTTTTGCAGGATTTTTCACAAAATGCCGTTTCCAACAGGATAACACGGCATGTCACAACGCTCAAATCATCTCAAACTGGTTTCTTGAAAATGACACCCAATAGTCTCGGTCCAACTCATCTATTTTTGAGATGCGGTGGAATGGGAAATTTGCATCACGGACATGCACTTTTCTTCAGATATTGAAGCTCATCTTCTGATAGACAGGACATTATTTAGAGTTGCACCACCTTTTAGGCACACTAGGAGGTTGCTCAGGACAGGCATAATGGGGCTGCCCTGGGTTTCTTCCTGCTAAAAGGGAGTTTTTCCTTCACAATGTTGCCAATTCTTTCCTCAAAAAGGGTCGTTCAACAGTTGAGGTTTTCTCTGTATTATTTTAAGGTCTCTACCTTACAATAATGAAGCACCTTGAGGTGATTGTTGTTGTGATTTGGTGCTATATAAATAAAATGTAATTGAATATTCACTAAAAACATCTGCTGCAACTGTATGATGCTATCACTTCAACGTGGATTACAATTTCTAGATTCTCAAGTAATTAAGACAAGTCTGAAGGCAAAATGGGGTGAAATAAAAGTTAAAAGTTAAAAGAAAAACAATATCACGAAGGTTTACAGTTAAAACTTTATAACATTAGGAATGTGAGAGTAGCGATGTGCTAAAACAGAGACATACTACATTAGGTGCACCTACCTAAAGTGACTGAACTGATGAACACTAATTAGGTGTTATTTTATTTACAGCCGCGTGGTGGCAGCAAAGCTCAAAACGCTCAGTAGCTCCGGAGCGCGTGTTTGCGCCCGTGCATTTGCCTGCGCGCTCTAAAGTGTTGAATGAGTTTAGGGTTTTGCCAGTCAATGTTCAACATTTAACCGAGGAGACACTATTTACCAGAGGTTTACCTCGGTTGGCAAACTACTTCTACTTTAATTAAAACACATTTTGGGGAATTAAAAGACTTTAAATTAGTCTTAAAACGTAACTTCTTTAATCATAGAACCAGCGGAAGTTAAGGTGAGTTCAGGTCCTGCAGTGGCACATCAAGAATGAGCAGCGGTTACACACCGACAAGCCCTGGGTGAGTGGGAGGGTTTCTCTGCGCTCCACTGTGTGTTTGTGTGTTGGCGTGTGTGTGTGTGTGTGTGTGTGTGTGTGTGTGTGTGTGTGTGTCTGTGTGGCGTGTGTGTGTGAAGTTGCGGCAGTGAGGAAATTACCCCTGAAAGTGCGGACTGTCAACAGACGCCAGGTGACCGGACCGAGGAGATGCTGCTAAAACACAACGGGAGTCTTCTTCTGCTCACCGTCACCTGCATGTGCTTCTCAGGAGGTTTGCTTTGGTCCTACCAAGAAGAAGATGCCACTGACGGGTAAACTTGCGTGTGTATGTGAACCCAAAATGACTTGAAAGGTCCTTGCAGTTTATGTGCAATGAAATTATGACTTTGCTTTCGAAATGTTTCATCCGCAGTGAGAAATGCTCGGAAAATAATATTTCTACCACAAAGTACCCCTGCGTGAAGTCAACGGGAGAGGTTACGACGTGTTACAGGTACAGCAGAGACTGTCAGCTGAGTGATTTATACTTCTATGCAGTTGTGATTGTGGGAATGTTTGAATGAAAGGGTTATAATTATAATCTGTGCCAATGCACGTAGCTCAGCATGATGTCAGATTTGGATTTGTTAATGTGAAATATAAAATAGTTTTGATTTGGTAGACAGTGGGTGCAGTTCTCTTTTTATGAAGCACTGAATGGTATGTGTAAATGAAGAGTGCGTAAGCTGTCACTGCCTGGGGCTAATAATAATTAAACGTCTTCTTCATTTTATCTACTGTTTATAAAAGTTATCATATCTGCGCTTGTAGGCATGTATTTATGCTCTGAAGAGTTTTCCTGTGACAGATGTGGATTCTCCACCTTATCATCCTTTGTGAATTAAAGGGATCATAGGCATACACAAGCCTTTAGACTGGCCTTGTCCATGCTCAGAGACTGCCTCTAATTATGACAGTTCACAGACATAGTGGACACAGCTATGCCCCGCACCAAAACTTCTGTCAGAGGCTATGGATTAAGTTAATCTGTCTTCACTGCAAGGGGTGCCTCACAGGCATAATAAAAAAAAATATTCGTCACTACATACTTTAAAGAGATGGTCATATTAAAAATGTGTAAGAGACAGGGTAGATTTCATATAAGCAGCCAAGTGTAATAAATGCCGTTAGTCTTCATCATGGGTGTGAGTAAGTTTTCCACAAAGCTGAATCATTTAATTAGCGGCAACTACAGACGTGCTACTGCACCGCCACCCACACAAACCTCCTTAGGGTGTTCCTTTAAGATATATGCTTGAGAATTTATTTAATTTTGGCTTGGACAGATACTAAATGCTCAAACACCACTTTGCTTGGTAATGCTCTATGTTTTGATTCGAGCTCACAGTGTGGGTGTGCTGCAGCTTTGGAAGCAAAATCATACGACCTATTTAGGGAAGTAATTTCAAACATTTTGTCAGTGAGCTTGATTTATAGAAGCCTCTATCGCTGTATGTGCTTTTGGGAAAGAACATTGAGAAGTAAAGAAATGGCAGCCTTTTGGATGTCTCCTCCACATTTCACAGACTTTAGAGAGGTCCTTTTTTGCATCACTTGACAAACTGCTGGCTGCGGTTCAAGGACACAGTAACATCCTGTTTGATCTCCAAATCTCAAACACACTCTTAACATAACGATGTTGGTTTACGGTTATTGGCTGCAGCCACAGTTGTTTCCCACAATGTTTACTTAAAGAAGAAAAGTTGTTTTAGCTAAGAGCCAAGATAATGCGTCCTGGGTGCATTTCAGGTCGCATGCACAGTGTGAGCTGATAACTGTCTGTCAGCCAAAAATGGTCAGATTGCAAATCTCATTGTAGTCATCATAGGAAAGAGGATAGAATAGCTGAATGGGGATGTATAAACACAATCTCATGTTCAGTACCTCCACACGAAGGAATTACTAATCACTCGCATCTTATTTGCTGAATAAGATGAGTTGCACTGTCCAAGGTTCTTGTTTAACATCATTAACAGACTCCTTAATCCTGCTCAGTCTGCTTTCCCTGTCATGTCTTCTGATGACTGTGAATAATTTATAAGTTTTCTTAGCTGGCAAGATTAGAGGCATCGGGTTTTAGCTCAAGTCTGGATTCTTTCAACCTGTCCCGTTGCCCAAGTTTAATCTGATTTCCACGACAGCTCACTGATATATTCTCACACATGTACAATTCGTCCTGCCCAGCTGACGTTATCATTTATAAATTTATTCAAGAAGTCCAATCTGCAGTAGCATGGTGGTGTGGTCGTTAGCAAGCAAGAAGGTCCTGGGTTTGAATTTAGCCTTGGGTCTTTCTTTGTGGAGTCTGCATGTTTGACACAGGTCTGTGTGGGTTCCTCTGGGTACTCAAGGTTCCTCTCAAAGACATGCATAGGGTTAGGTTAATTGTTCAATCTAAATTGACTGGAGGCGTGACTGGTTGTCTGTCTTTGTGTGTTAGCCCTGTGACAGATTGATGACCTGTCCAGAGCGTACCCTGCCTCTTGTCAGCTGGGATATGCTCCAGCCCCTTCTTGACCTTGAATTCGATAAGCGGACGGAAATGGATGGATGGTTCTGCCTGTCATTTACCACTGCCTTCTCTTTATTATAAATCAGACCCTTTCATCTCGCTGCACACCAGATTAGTTTAAAACACTCAGCATCTTCCCTCTGCTTAAAGAAACCTCCCTAGATCCCAGTGTTTTAGATAACATTTTACAGCCCATTTATTAACTGCTCATCGTTTCTAGAAGGCTTGAGAATACTGTCGCTCATCAGCACCTTCAGCTGGTTAAAGGAAATGGCATCGTTGACAAATTCCAATCAAAACCACACTACTGAAAACGCTTTACTGGAAGTTACTAATAATATTCTGATGCACTTGGATAAAGGTGACTATTCCACAATTTGACACCACTGATCATCCCACTCCCAATAACATTACAAAGCTGGGTTGGCATCTCTGGCACTACTCTCAAACGGTTTTTATCATACTTACACAGACACTTCAGAGTTCATATTAATAACTGTAACTGTAACTGCTGTCATCACTGCTCATAATATTAGGGTTATATGTGTTACCCCTAGATCATCTGCTTAACAGCTTCAGAAACATATCTAGCCATTTCTATGCTGATGATGCACAGCTGTACATTTCTGTTAAACCCAAGAGCCTCAACAGATGCTCCTACCTCTGTGAATCACTGTCAGCTGAGGTTGTCAGGTTTGGCCCTGACAGCTTCTCTAAGGAGATTGGCCATTCCTTCTAAGCCCATCTTTAGCTGGTTGAGAATGCAGCAAGCTATGAAACTTATGAAAGCTTATGAAAACAAACTGGCACTCACACATCACCGCTTTTCTTGCTGCCCTTCACTGGTTTTCAGTGAAATTCATAAGTATTTTTTTTTTTTTAAAGTATTAGTAACATATAAAGCCCTACATGGCTTGGCCCCTGTGTGTATATGAAAACTACTGAGACCTTATTCCAGCAATTGGCCTCTCCAATCACCTGATCAGTCTCTTAACTGTTCCACACTCTTATTTTGAAAACCAGAGGTGATCATGCTTTTCAGGTTGTAGCTCCTGAACTTTGGAACAGCCTTCCTCAGCCTATCAGGTTGGCTAAATCAGTCGTGTGTTTGAAATGACTGCTGAAAACTAATTTGTATAGGTTAGCCTATCCTTACACTTTCTCCCATTACTTTAAACATGGTATACACCTAAGGAATATGGATGGAAGTATTTATGTTAAATGAATGTGAGACTGTAGCTGGAATATGTATGCTTATCTTTAATGTGTGGTTTTATTCAAACTGTGGAGCACTTTGTAACTGCGTCTTTTAAAAAATGCTATAATATAATGCTAGAAAGTTATTATTATTAGGAAAAAAGACTAGAGTGATTGGCATTTGATAGCATGAATCTGCATGCTGCATTTTTCTCAAAATACAGTCGCACAGTGCTATTTTGCCTTGGCATGAATGAGACGTTCTTCAAAGGGAACCAAGCACCATTTAAGTTGGCAGGATTCAGCTGCCAAAGGAAAATATGGCATTCATTACACACTCTGTAGAGTATCAGTGTGTCTGCACCTCTCGGAACATTTTGTTGGTTTGCTAAACACTGTCGAAAGAGCTGTTTATGTAAAAGGTGTTGCTAGATGGGCATCAGTACCACAGAAATTTACAGTCCACAAGGCTGTGAGCAGAGGTGTTGCAGAAGTTACAAAGAAGTAGTGTGTATGACTAGCTTTTAGTCAACGTGATATGCTTTCAATTAAGATTTTTTTTCAGTGCAGTCATCACAATATATTTTTTGAAGCTATTGTATTACTTTAATTTGCATTTTACAGTGAATTTTTTACCAGAAAGAAAAATAGACCTATTTTTCTCATGTAGTGGCACTGTATGCACAACACTGATGCGCCACTGATCATACTGAGGAAACAGGACCAGAGGAGAATTAGTAATAGGGCTTATTTGTCTCTGCACATATATCTCTCAGTTTCGCTTCTGGTCTGATCTTCTCTCACTTTCTGTTTGAGTTGTTTCACATTAAGATTTCAATATTATGTGTTGTACTGAATTAGGATTCTGCATTTCCAGTCATAGCGTTTGATATGCTTGGCTCATACTAGAGCTAAGGCAGGAAAAGCTGTGGAGGGTTTTTGTTTCCAGAGTTGCATTTGAATAAAAAATACATAGGATTGCAACATAAAAGCTTTACAAAATAACAGACAAGGATTTGATTAACATGATACATTGAGCTTTGTGTTTGTTTGGCAGCATCTTCAGGCTGTTGTGTTGTTACATTGTAACACCCAGAATTTATATCATAATTGTTGCCAGTAGCAGGGTTTATGTTGACAAAGTTGTTTGTTTCTTTTAGCAGTGCTGTTTTCTGTTATACTGTATTTTTTATGAAACCACAGTTGTTGATGCTCAAACATCAATTCTCCTAAATTAGGTCATTTTTCTTTTTGTGGCTTAGCTTGAGCTGAGCTTGATTTCTGATTTATTGGAACACTGCATGGAGTATAATCAAGCAAAGTGCTTTATTTGAATCAGTGTTACAAATTTAAAGGCCTTCCAGTTTTTGCTGAGCAGTTGAAAATAATGTCTTGTGAGACATAGTCATTGGAAAAATACACTCGATGGTCACGTTATTGTGTGCATCTGCTTAACTGCTTGTTAATGCATATATCTAATCAGCCAATCACATGGAAGCAACTCAGTGCATTTAGACCTGTAGTCACAGTTAAGACAACGTACTGTTTTCTCTAGAGTTTACAGAGAATGGTCTGAAATTATCCAAGGAGCAGCGGATCTATGCAAAATACCTTAATGATGCCAGAGGTCAAAGGAGAATAGCCAGACTGCTTCGAGTTGACAGGAAGGCAACAATACCTCCAATAATCATGTTACAACACAGATATGCAGAAAAGCATCTCTGAAGCAGCAGCAGAAGACCACA